GATAACAGTAGAGTACAGTTTTTTTCCAGAGGGATTGAGTATACCTTTTCGACAATTTCCTAATCGATGACCCTTTCAAGTTTTATGATTCGAAAATTGAGGCAGTGTACAGATTTTTCGATGCAGCTAGTAGCTTTGGAATTCTCTATAATAAAGTAATGAAGCACTCGGTCTGGGTTATAAGAAGAGTTTTGGGTCTTTTATTGGTTGTGAGGTAATTGGTCTGTGTTAGTCATTTTTCTATGTGCAAAACCCCGAAAAATTCTCGTGGTGGGGGTAGTTTACTCCTATAAATGCCATTTGTCAGTCACCCTCAATTCACAGTCCACCACAACGTCTTCAAAGGACAGCAAAACGTAAAATTTCATTCGTGTTTGTGCAAGTGTTCGTGTTCGTTTGTTCGTAACAATGAATCCCGTCCAAGAATATGTCGCCATCAAGGAGAATGTTTTTTGCCCATTGGAGTGGGTAAAACGTTATACGGCGGAATACCTCTGCGAGGAGTTGGAGAAGACTATGATTCTCTACGTGGAGAATGAATCCATTCTCCAACATTTCCCCCTCTTGGCTGCTCATGTGATGTTGGACCCTCCGGCAACAGTGTGGGTCACCGCTCATACTGCAGCGGGTTTGATGTGGGAGTTCCTGCTCGACGAGGACTTCGAAAAGCGCAAATATCTGACTCGGCTTCGGGAGGAGCAAGCAGAGCGAGCTCAACGGCATCTGGTGATGGAGGCGGAAGGGCCAACCCAAGAAATGGATATTGGGAGAGAAGAAGAAGTAGGAGAGGAAGAGGATGAAGACGAAGAAGAAGAAGAAAAAGGAGAGGCTGAGGATGAGGACGAAGATGGCATCGTCATCATTCATGGAGGTCCCCGCCAGGAACTCGACAGGATGGACAGGAAGGGGGGGGGGAGATTAAACCGCTTTCGACATATGTAATACGCATTTCATCCTGTCTAGTGTAAAATAAATAATATTTTCAATTATTAAATGTTTTTTTTTATAAAATACTAGCTACCCTTCTTATCCTTAAAAATCCTAGCACTCCTTAATACAACATGTGAATCAAACCGTGAACTAAATCCGCGAATTAAAACCGCGAATTAAATCCGGCAATCAATCGATGAATCGACCGCCTACCACCCATTCGCGACTAATGAAATAACCACCCACTCGCAGGGGCACCCTTCGTGAACAGACCCTTCCTACAGCGTTGCACTAAAAAATCCGCGAATTAAAACCGCGGATTAAATCCGCGAATTAAACCGCGAATTAATCGATTAATCAGCCGCCTACCACCCACTCGCGGGATACCTTCAGACAGACCCTTCTGACCCTCTCCAAAATGGGTTGGGCCAGATACGGCCTCACACATCTACTTTTTTCAGTTGATTTATTCGCCGACCAATTATTATTAAGGGATGAAGCAAAGACTGTTCAATGGAGAATTAAATTCCCCATCCTTCAACCCCCGTTTCATTCCTTAATCTCTGTAATGAAAAAATAAAAACTGCGACGAAAGTCGCGGCGCTATGAAAAACTCAATGCTTTCTCGGCGCAGAGTGCTTCCCCATTAATGCGCCCGCTAATTAAAAAATCGTCTCTTCTCTCCTAATTGATATTAAGGAATGAAGCCAATGCTGTTCAATGGAGAATTAAATTCCCCATCCTTCACCCCCCGTTTCATTCCTTAATCTCTGTAATGAAAAAATAAAAACTGCGACGAAAGTCGCGGCGCTATGAAAAACTCAATGGTTTCTCGGCGCAGAGTGCTTCCCCATTAATGCGCCCGCTAATTAAAAAATCGTCTCTTCTCTCCTAATTGATATTAAGGAATGAAACCAATGCTGTTCGATGGAAGTTTAAATTCCCCATCGTTCAACCCCCGTTTCATTCCTTAATATTAATTAGGAGGGGAGAGACGATTTTTTAATTAGCGGGCGCATTAATGGGGAAGCACTCTGCGCCGAGAAACCATTGAGGTTTTCATAGCGCCGCGACTTTCGTCGCAGTTTTTATTTTTTCATTACAGAGATTAAGGAATGAAACCAATGCTGTTCGATGGAGAATTAAATTCCCCATCCCTCCACCCCCGTTTCATTCCTTAATCTCTGTAATGAAAAAATAAAAACTGCGACGAAAGTCGCGGCGCTATGAAAAACTCAATGGTTTCTCGGCGCAGAGTGCCTCCCTAATAATTCGCCCGCTAATTAAAAAATCGTCTCTTTTCTCCGAATTAATATTAAAGGATGAAACCATCACTTTTCGATGGACAATTAAATTCCCCACCCAACAACCCCCGTTTCATTCCTTAATCTCTGTAATGAAAAAATAAAAACTGCGACGAAAGTCGCGGCGCTATGAAAAACTCAATGGTTTCTCGGCGCAGAGTGCCTCCCTAATAATTCGCCCGCTAATTAAAAAATCGTATCCCCACTCCTAATTAACATTAAAGAATGAATCCAATGCTGTTCGATGGAGAATTAAATTCCCCATCCTTCAACCGCTGTTTCATTCCTTAATGTTAATTAGGAGTGGGGATACGATTTTTTAATTAGCGGGCAAGTTGTCGGGAGTCACTGCGCCGAGAAACCATTAGGTTTTTCATAGCGCCGCGACTTTCGTCGCAGTTTTTATTTTTTTATTACAGAGATTAAGAGATGAAACGGGGGTTGAAGGATGGGGAATTTAATTCTCCATCGAACAGCATTGGTTTCATTTCTTAATGTTAATTAGGAGGGGAGAGACGATTTTATAATTAGCGGGCGAATTAATGGGGAGTCACTCTGCGCCGAGAAAACATTGAGTTTTTCATAGCGCCGCGACTTTCGTCGCAGTTTTTATTTTTTCATTACAGAGATTAAGGAATGGAACGGGGGTTGAAGGATGGGGAATTCTCCATCGAACAGCATTAGTTTCATTCCTTAATGTTAAATAAGAACGAAATAGGTAACAAAATTCGAGTAACGTTAGTGCCGGCAACGAAATAGGTAACGAAATTTGAATAACGTTATCGCCGGTACCGAAATAGGTAACGAAATTCAAATAACGTTATTGCCGGGAACGAAATCGGGAACGAAATTCGAGAAACATAAGTCCCAAAAATTAAGACGGAAATGTGTGTGGATGATTTTTCGAACTATATTTATACGATTTTGTACCTTCGAAATTTGAATTTTGTTGAGGCTTCTCATCTGATTTTCTCAACATTCAAACAACCTAGAAAATTTTTTCAACATTTTTTTTTTAATTACACTGCGTACAAAAAAATTTTTTTTTCAGTTTTCAACTTTTTTACGAAATTCGGTATTCCAGAAAAGATGGAAAGTTTGATTCGAGTTCTCAATGAGTGGAAAGAACGCAAAAGAAAGTTTTCCGTTCTTCCGATGGAGCATGGTTTCATTTAGCTAACATCATCGGAAACGCCCGAAAATCGAGAAAAAAATTGACAATTGACCGTACCCCTTTCCCCACCTCGATAGTCAATTTTTTTCTTATCTTCGTCGAATTGACTTCTTTCCCGGGAAATATAAAAGAATCAAAGTGGGGGTCAGTTCGTTTTATCCGAAAACAATCTACTTCGTAACATTGTTTTTCAAATTCTCTTTTCTTCATTACGTTTGTTTCTGTCCTTGTAATTTTTTTTATTTATAGAGAAATTTACTATTAGTTGAAATTTGTAGAAGAAATATATAGTAAACAATGAAAAATTAGGGAAAAAGTCCAGAGAAAAATTGTTTATGGAAAGTAAGGACCTGACCCCCACTTCGATTTTTTATATTTTCTGCAAAAAGAAGTGGTCTGAAACCACTGATTTTCTTCAAAAACTCGGAAATTAGAAGAATTAATTTGTTGTACGTATTGCAATGAAAAAAAAAGTGGAAAATTGCTTCTTACTTCATATAGTAGTTATTTTTGCTAATAAATTAGCAATATCCTCTCCAATGGCCATTTTGTACATCATTTTCTTTCTTCCCTTATAAATCATGGTTTGATAATATTCTATCGAATTGATAAAATTTGTGTATACATTGAATTACGTATGAAAAAAAAATTCAATTGAAAAACCTAGCGCTTTCGCTAAGAAATGCTATCGAATTTCTATGTGTTTTTTGCGCCATTTTTATAGAAGATATGCAATAGCAAGTCAACAGAATTTTTTTTCTATAGAACTTCTTGGACGTTAATTTTCTAAGTTTTTTCGCTTGCGCTTTATTGGGAGAAATGAATGGAAATACAATGAAAAATACTTGGAAAATTTACGTTCAGAAATTCCTATGAAAAAAACATCTATTGACTTTTCTATTAAACATTTTCTATAAAAATGGAACAAAAAACAAATCGAGTTCTTCAATAGAATTTTGATAGAACTCCAATAGAAATTCTCAGCGAAAGTGCTAGGCTTTCCTATTGAATTTTTTAATACGTGATGAAAGAAAGATGATATCGATATTATATTGAAACCACAATAAAATATGATTAGAAAAATGTTATTCCTACGTAATTTAATGAATTCGAAACATTACATTGAAAAACGCCATGAGATACTTTCAGGAAAACTGATGAAAGATCAGAAATTTGTAAAAATCATGATAAAAATAAAATCAACAGATATAGCTATCATAATCACTTTCAACTTCCACAGAGTGGCATTCAAAGTTCCCATTTGGAAGTACCATTTCAAACTGTAATGCGAGAATTCTGATTTGTTTTTTAACAAACAAATCTCGCCAAATTTCCCCATAAATCATAACAACGATTACTGCCATCGTCTCCATCTTTGAACTTGATGAAAGGGACATCCCGACCGATTTTTTGGATATCATTCAATGAATTCAAAATTTTTTTTCAATTGTCCTAGGATAATCAATTTTCGAAGGAAATCGAGAATAAAGAAAATAGAAGACATATAGAGGAGAAATTAAAGGTTGACTGATAGGATGGAATATATCAATTTTTTTTTAAGAACAATTTATTACTGAAAAACATGATGCATTCATAATTGGTGATCACTCTTTTACATTTGGGGAGAAAAATCATCCTCTAATTTTTTCTGTTTCTCGGAAATATCATCGTGTCTACTGAAAATAGGAATAATAATTGCATTTGTGCTGAATGAACTGCAGTCACGAAGAACTCCATATCTTCACTTGAATCTACTGATTTCCTTTGATAGAGGTTTACTAATTCCTTTTCGTTGAATCAATCGAGTTTTTTAATTCTGTTGACATTCTGAAGATTGCACCGAATCATCATCATATTATCCAAATTTTTCGACTGCAGATCAGCTCCTGAACCTGTGAAATTGACATTTATCACTGAGAACATAGGCTTAGTAGTTACCCGAGTCGCGGGTACTGCATGGGTGATCTTAGCCAATTGATAGAGCTGGGGCATTACGTATTTTTGGTCCTCCCAAAAACGTAAAATGTTGTCATTGGGATCCAGAAACGAAGCTGCTTCTCCAAATTCTTGCAATAATCATCGTATATTTAAGGCAGGTGGGGATTTCGTGCTCTGAACACCCAATGCCCTGGTCAACGCGTTCAGGAGTCGAGAACTATGGAATCGTTTGACTGCAAGATCTTTTCTGCCTGGATCATAGAATTGATTCAACTAAGGATTGATCGAGCTTTTTCGCTGTTGTTCCAGTGTCCTCCATAATGCTTCTAATTTATTAATTGCAACCGCATGGTATTTTTTCGGCAGAGGCGGAGAGAACCGAGGATCTAAATACACTGAAGCCAGGAGGTACTCATTCTCCATGAGCTGTAATTCTCTCTTCTTAAGCGCCTTAAAAAGTTGTTCAGCCAGTTCTGTGGATATGTCTGCCGTGTCGAGATTACATTCAAAACATACGCCATAAAATGAACCGAGCGTGAAGTGTTCATCTTGCAATCGCATCATCGCTCTTTTCACAGGCATCAATGACTTCACGTAGTTTTCTATGCATTACCATTCGCCATTAGTGATATTCAAATTTTTATCAAATGATGAGAACTCTTGACAGAAGTCTTTCATCTCCATTAGTGACTCTAACATATCTGCCGTCGAATACCAAGGAGTATTAACATCGAGACGCAGCTTCCGTACATTTGGCTTAGATAGCAACAATCATTTCTTAACATTCGATGTACCCAGAGCTTCAATAGCTTTTCGAGCTATAGTTAGAGTATTCGTTCTACTATTGAAACTCCTGAGCGCATCATCCACTGCTAGCTGGAGAAAAGAAGTTACACACTGAATATTCGAGATAACAGCTTTGTCATTGGATAAACTGCAGGAAAAATTCCATTCATCGATATCCACTTTTTTCCCGTCTAAATGTCCCTCATTAACATCCATAATTTCACCGTAGATTTGTTCTTTCTCATTACTCTCCTTGTCGAGAATCATTCGAGCTTGTCTCCTATAAAGAGATTCTTCTACTTCAACCATATTTTGTCCATTATCGGATACGAAAGAGTAAATATCGATAATATTGATTTCATAAACCTTGAGCATCTTCTCGATCTCTGCTTTAAAATGTTCAGCCGTATATTTATGAGTCATTTCAATGATCCCAAGAGTCCGCACCTGAATCATTCCAGCATCAAAATAGTGGCCGCTAATACAGAGGAATCTTCGATTGAACAGTGTTGCAGCATCCACTTTTAGGCTGATCAATTTTCCCTGCAGGATAAGTTATTCTTTAATTATGGAATAGATAACATGGATATAAAGAAGTGGCGTTAATTATACTATCCACTCTGCAGTTGTCGAGAAAGACGATTCTCTAACATGCTACGACCTTATATTGTTCATTGAGATAATATCATTGAAAGAATGAATCATTCATAGAATGAATATTTACTATCAGATCGTTACGTATCGAAGCGCGTATTCCTTCTACTTCCGCTTCAATTCTTTCTTGAATCGTGGCTGAAGATATTTTGGCACATTTTTGAGCATTAACAGCTCTCAGAAGAGGACTCAAAAGCCTTTGAAAGCCACTGTCATCGATGATGGATAATGGGCCTCCATTTACAGTGGCTAATTCAATGCAAGCTCTTTTAATTTCTTCGGTGCTAGACAGAATGTTTGGTGATCTTGATCTCTTCCTCTTCGGCATATTAGCAACAGCTTTCTCCTGAAATACGATAATGATTTCGTGGTGAAGACACAAATGTACTTCAGGATTCTGCTCTGCTCACGCTTTGAGACAAAAATTGTTTCGAAAAATCATAAAATTCATGTACTATTATTTTTGCTCAGCTTAAAATAAATTGAAACAATATGAATTTACCTGTATTCTCTGATTGCGCCCTCTACCAGACAGTAACTGGAGTTGATTCTCTGTCTCGTTCTTTCTGAGAATTGTCTTTCTCAATGGCTGATTTGATACAAAATTTTGAAAAATTTCATCTTGATGTTGTGCTTACGAGGACAACAACTGAATGACTCAAAGACTGGCCTATCTCGGGTTTAAATACAATTCCACTAGTCATGGATGGTTAGTATGCAAGGGCGGGGGAACAGAGCGTACTCAGTTCTCTGAACTGACATAGAAACTATGAACCCCACTGGGTCGCAAGTCAATTGGTATATAGTGAATCTTTGAAAATTTTACATAATGTTACATAGAGATTGCCTTCTAATCACGCATGAAAAAATGTAATAGAAAAAGCTTTCTTTGAAAAATTCTATTGGATTTCTATTGGAATTCTATAAGAATTCTCTGGACATTCAATTAGAATTCTATTACAAACTTCTGTTTCTTTCTTGCCCCGATTTTATAGAAGATTATGCAATTTTGTGGTGTCATTTAGTTGATAGAAAATTTGATGAAAAAAAGGCCATAGATTTAGATTTTTCTATAGGAATTCCTGACGTAAAATTTCAATGTTTTTTTCCGATGTATTTTCTTCCATTCCTTTCAATGAAATGAAAAAAAAAATTAAAAAGCTCATGCCCTATAATTTTTACAGAAAAAATGTCAACAGGCTGTTTCCGTTGAATAAGTGTCGTTGCCCAATAAACATGTTAGATAGTGAGATGCTAGGAATATCAAGTAATACCTCGTCACCAGCCGGTGCCCAGACACTACCTCGCCCCCTTTGTCGCTAATGAGTGACCCATGATGACTCATCATTGATGAGTCACATGGTAGGCTAATTCTCTATAGTTTACTTTATATGTTCTAACTCTTTTTATTTCTTTTATTCCTACCTATTCCATTGGTAGTGAGCTTCTGAATAGATCTCTGATAATTTTGTACAATCATTAACAAAAGTTCTGTAAGAATCTCAACTTCGGTGATATGGCATGAATTTTTTCAGAAAGATGTATATCTCCAGAACTCATGATGCAATTGAACTAATTTTTTATATGATTAATTTTTTTCATGAGAGGAAGATTCTATCCAAGTTTCAAGTTGATATCTCAATATTTGCACAAGCTAGAGTGATTGCAAGAATTTTTATGAAAAAAAACAGAGAAAGGGGAATATCTCGAAAACTATGTATGAACGGGTATATATGTTTTGATTGATTCAGATAGAAGACATCGAACCGAATATTTAAAAAACAGATAAAATTGAAATCGGTTCTCTAGCTTCGAAGATATTAGCGAAAAACGATTTAAAAACGAATAGCTTTTTCTAAAAAACTTTCTGGTCAATCGGGCTGAAATTTTGCACAGAGTTAGTCCTCGGTGAGGCCTATAATCTGACAAAATTTCAGATTTTCGGAATAAGTTTAGCCAATTGTATATTCAATTTTCAAAAAATTGACCACCCGGAAGGTGGCGATGGACATTGAGACCGACGGACATGGTCACCAAACTTCGTATTTTTACGTTTCAGACCATTCTACATAATTTCCAATCTAAATTAGAGAATGTGAAAACAGCACGATTGCAATGCTTCTATTTGGAAGCAAAAATAAATATATATCAATAAATATAGGGGAACGTGGGGCAAAATGGAACGTTTCTCATCGACTCAAAATCCCAATATTTTTGTTTATAAACAAAGATATAAAGAATTAGAGTAGATCAGAAACGTTCCATTTTGTCCCACTCTCCCCTATATATAAATAACAATATATCAAGTGATATAAAAAATAAAGAATATATGGAAATGCCATTGCGGCAGATTGAGTAGTTTGACAGTCAAACTTGGAATATATAGCAATTGTACACTTTCATAATAATCAGTCCATTTTCTAAAAGATCGAAGGGAAGAGAATCGCAAATACCGAGATTTCCACAGAATTGGTGGATATTGATGACTAATTGGACAACTGATTNCCCCCCCCCACACCCGTCAAGTTAATTGGAACTGATGGCTAGTAAACGATAAAGGATATATGCCATTAAATTCCCAATGATGTTGACTGTTTCTTGAATGAAGAATTCTGGACAGAGTTAAAAAACTACAGTAAAATACAAGAATTAATTATTCAGTCATCACTGATCTATCGGTAATTGCATCAAAGTGCTCAGAGTTACAGCCCACGTTGGTCGATCGAAAATTGTTGATTCGAAACATCCCGCTTGCGTAAAATTTCGAGCTCATTTTTCTGAGCTGCAAATCAATGTCCGAGTTTATTGAATACTGGTAGGACGAAGAGATATTTTCATCCTGGAAAGGCACGGTCTCATTTGAATGATTCGCCTCTTGTGTCAAACATTTCGTTGTTGTTAAAAAACAAAGCGATAATTTATGTTTTTAAATCCAAATCGAACAATTCACGCATGAAACAATCCAATAGAATTTTCTAGCGAATTCGCTAGAAAATTCTATTGGGATTCTACTGGAAAATTCTGTTTGTTTTTTGCGCAGATTCTATTGGATATTCTACCGGTAAAATTCAATAGATTTTGAGTTTCTGTTGGAATTTTTCTATTGAGATTTTTCTATTAGAATTATTTTTCACAAATTTTCAAATTTTTTCCCGCTGGATTCGGTTTCGTGTTGCATTACTGAATCTGAGCGAAAAAAACTTGGAAAATTTATGAAAAATAATTTTGACAGAAAAATCTCAATAGAAAAATCCTAACAGAAATTCAAAATTTATCGAATTTTGCCAATAGAAAATCAAATAGAACGAGGGCGAAAAACAAACCGAATTTTTCAGTAGAATTCCAATAGAATTTTCTAGCGAATTCGCTAAAAAATTCTATTGAATTTTTTCATACGTGTTCCTTTTTTTGGTTATTTTTAACTTGCGATTCCTTCAGTCAAAACAAGACTTGTTGGGAAACTCGTTCGACTTCCTCTTCGTGTTCAGAAAAGACAGTTGGATTTAGCTTCGACAGAGGAGAGGTTCATATCATTTTCATTTCACCGAGTCCTTTGATATTAGCAAAATAACTCTCCTGCATTAACCATGAAATTAAAATGATTATTTCTGGCAATCGGATTTGGCCTCCCCTGGGCCAATCAGAGCTCAGTATTCAATAACATGAAGTACTTCCCAAATAAAATATCAGCGGTTATTTACCTTTAGCTTTTAATTATTTCCCTCTAGCTCTGCAATTATTTCTCTAACCAAATAGCTGTAAAATATTATCCTGTGGAGTGAAAGAAAAGGCCCAACGGAGGCCAGATCCGATCACCAGAAATAATCCGTCGAATACCACTCGACCTCCAAAATTAATCGGATATTTCCCTCATGTTTTCCGCATATCAACGATCCGGATAAGTTTTGCACAAAAATCCCTCGCGCTGCGCGCTCGGGATACATGAAGTACTTCCCAAATAAAATATCAGCGGTTATTTACCTCTAGCTTTTGATTATTTCCCTGAAGTACAATCCAATAGAACGAGCGCAAAAAACAAACAGAATTTTTCAGTAGAATTCCAATAGAATTTTCTAGCGAACAGGATTTTTTTTTTCGTGAATGCTCGCGCTGCGCGCTCGGGATTTTAATCTGCAAAACTTCTCCCTCTTGTTGCTACACAACAAAACAATCGGGAAATATCCGATAATTTTGGAGGTCTTGTGGTGTTACTATTGAATATAGACTCTTACAATTAGAAATGCTGATGTGATCGCTGCAGGTTTTTCATGATGCTGCTAGCTCGTGCAATATTTTTCCTATTTCAACACCAAAGTAAAAATCATTTTTCATCACGCTGTGCGAAAAAGTAACTTTTTAGATACGCTTCGCTTCACGTGCCTGAAACGTCCCTTTGCCACACATTGTGATGAAAAATATCGTTCGATACCCGTGGTAAACGAATGTTTTTTGGCTCGTGAGAGGTTTTGTAGCACCAACCGAATGCAAGTGATATAATCCCACGAGCCAAAAAACACTTTTCCGCACTCGTATCGAAATATACTATTCTAGTATCGCAGTCAAGAGTCTTTAATCTCCATCTATTTTCCAAGGTTTTCATGAGTAGAGTTTCGATTTTTCCTGCCCTTCCCTTTCCTTCATCGCAGTGCCACTATTCCTTAATTATATTGAACATTTTTCTAAAATTCGTTAGTTGAAACCTACTATGACTCACACGATCGAGCGTAGTTTGTGAGTGGAGGTTTGAAAACCCCCTCCCTCGCCCTCCTCCGCCCATTGTTGGCCCTTCGAACGACCTACCGACGGGCGATGGTACCTGTATATAAAGTGAGGAGTTCAATCACCCTCATCACATTACAGAAGCAAATTTTAAAGAACCCGGGATGTATTCTGGAAGAAAGTTAAGAACAAACTCACGAATGTGATCAATAAAAAAATAAGGACTTACACCAAGAAGATATGGGACGACAAATTGTCTAAACTCAATGCTCGTGACCACTCTCTCTGGGAAATGGCACGATCATTGAAAGACCAAAATAAAAAACAAATACCCATACTTCACGGTACTCGGGGTTTGGCTCATGACGATCTATCCAAAGCCAATACACTCGCGGACGTGTTTGAAAAAGTCCATAGAATTACGGAAGACTTTGGCGAAGTTAGCCATGATAATAAAATAAACAAAATATTTAACGAAATCAAACGAAGCGATCTAAATAGAAATGAAATCGAACTAGTCAGCCCTAGGGAATTAACAAAAATAATAAAAACACTGAAACCAAAGAAAGCTTTAGGCATAGATAATATACAAAAACTAGTGCTAAAAAATTTGCCAATTAAGGCGGTCGTTCATATTGCACAAATATACAACGATTTTCTTAGCCCGAGTCGAAAAATAAGTCGTTCCGAATCTTCCTCGAGTCTTCCAAGTTGCTCCGATATTTCAATGCGTCCGTAACAACACGCGAAGACACAGGGAAGACTATAGTCGTCTCCTCCTCGATAGCCATAAAAATTTTGAAGACAAGAGTCTTCCGAAAATTGTTCTGATGTTGCACTTACTGGACTCATGAAGACCGAGGAAGATTTGAGGAAGACAAGAATTGTTGTGGTTTATGACCGTTGGAACGACAACGATCGTCCTCTAGTCGTTCTAAGTCTTCATTTTTGGGGGGATCGGTCAGTATGGCTGTCCTTGTCTATTTTTATGGCTGGGGACCGTAGGTCCCGTCGGGGGGAGCAGGGGGAAGAGGTTCTATCAATCTCTGGTAAAAAGAAATCAAAATATGCATAAAAAATGTTCGATTTATTGCGTAGATTATGTAACTGTAGGCTTATTGATATCACATAAACATAATTATACATTTTAACAAAATTTCATTGCACCAATCATACATTATGCGAAGTTTAGTACAAGTGTCCCAGCTATTATTAAAATAATAGTCAGATATATGTGAAAACTTGAAAAGTAACTCCATTCATTGGAGTCCCATAGAACTATCATGCATGTTAACAAAATTTCAATGGGATTTTCTTACATTCTAAATAATTACAGA